GCCGGCCTGCCGATAGCCCTCTGGGGTTGCGGTGAGCAGCCAGGGGGTCCCCAAAACCCCACGCGGGCTCACCTCCCACATCCCCCGCAGCGACCGTCCCCGACCCCACAGGCGGTCCGCTGGAGAGGTCTGGCACACCGGTCTCCATCGCATCGGGGCCAAAGCCGCCCTATCGCATCGGGGCCAAAGCCGCCCTGCCCCAAGCACGCCGCGTGGGAAAGGGCTGCCCTGGGCGGCACCCGGCCGCCCTGCCAGGGCTGCCCCGCCATGCCGGCGCCGGAGAGGGGATGGGATGGGAGCTCAATCCGATCCCCGTTGCACGGGATGGACGGGGTATTTCTGTGTGCAAACACGCGACTGCACGCAGGTATCTGCGCATTCACCGTCTTCAAACGTGCGCCCTTGTGGGGCCCACAGGGGTAAACGTACCCCACAAGCAGACACCTATATGAATAGTGTATCGTATCCATAATTTCTTTTACCCAAATGACAGTTTTGACAAGGTGCCAGGAAAACAATATCGGATCCCAGCGGTTTTACCAGTTGCTTTGATGAAAAGATTATGTTGCCCTGGAAACCAGAGGCTCAGATAGTGAGAGGAGTTTGAGAAGGAGCTTTTGATAAGCACTAGTCTGCAGACCTCCCATCAACCTCTCCCTTGCGAAGGAGGGATAGGGCCACGTTTGCTTTCTATTTTACTTTCTCTCAGCTGCCGGCATCTGTCCCCTTCTGGAGCGAGCGCTGAGCAGGGGAGATGCTGGAGGAAGGGAACGGATAGACGATGGGACTGTGGCCTGATGCGGAGTGCCCACGGGTGCCCTGGCGACTCTGCAGCGCATGGACCTGGCCCAAGGGACCTTTGCTGCCACCGCCACCGCCTGGCATCAGCCCTCCCTCCCGCTCCTGCTCGGCCAGCTCAGCACTCCCCCGGCACACCCTGGCGATCCCCCGGCCTCGCCCCCGTCCCCGTCCCGTACCGGCTGCCCCGAGCCGGGGCTGGAGCAGAAGATGGTGTACTTCCGGATGATGCCGTTGGGCTTGGCCGGCGGCAGCCAGGACACCACCACGCTGCTGGCGGAAGACGGGACAGCCTTGATGCCGGCTGGGGGACCTGGAACTGAAGGAGGCAGAGCGTGGCAAAGCCGGCACCGGGAGGTCTCCGCGGTCTCTGCCCAGCCCGGCGAGGCGGCAGCAGCCCGCCGCATGGCCGGCATTCCGACCGCACGACAAGGAGGAGCTGCTGTAGCGTTTCCACGCCAGCATCGAGCAGGCACAAGCGGTGACGGGTCTGCAGGTGAGCGGTCACCCCGCCGTCACCCCGCTGCCTGCGGGACGCCTCTCCGCAGGTGCCTCCGGTCCCCTGCCGAGCCGGAGGCAGGAGAGTTAATTGCAGCCCAGGCTCTGGTTTAGAGACCGCGATTGGCCTTTAATGGCTGTCTCCTTCGTCTCCTTAATCTGCCGGAGCGGCTCAGCCTTACCCTGCCCAGCTGCGCCTCCCCAGCATCTGGCGCTTCCCAGGACAGGCAGGCAGCCACGCCAGCCCACGGGCCCGGGAAACGCTCCGCTACCGAGTTAATGGCATTAAAGTAGGGCAGGCAGGGGTGTAAATATTTAAATATCCGCACTTAAGGAAAAGAAGGAAAAAAAAAAAAGGGAAATGCCCTGCCCGTGGCTGTACACGGGGGGTTTCCTCCACGCCCCCACAGCCGCTCCAGCCCTTCCCTCGCCAGTGCAGCAACACGACATGCTGCGGCAGGAGCAAGTGCTCCCGTCTCCCGGCATCAGCTGGCTACGGCACGGGCTCTGCTACCACGGAGCAGCAGCTGAGGACCACGCACACGCGGCAGGGCAGCGCCGGGTGCCCGCCTCCCCTCCCGGCCAGGTGTGGCTCTGGGCGCACGGCGGGCTGCCGGGCACGGGACCTGCCTGTGGGTTTGGCAAACCGAGGAGGGAGGAAATGAAAAGGAGGGAGAAGCCGTGCCTGGCCCCGCCTGCCTGCTCCGGAGGCTGCACAGCCACCTTTCCTTATTCATTGCTAAGGGCTCCTACTCAACGCTCCATCTTCTTACCCCAGCTGATAAACCACGGCAACACGTGTCACTTAGAAGTAAGAGGAGAGTGCACCCGCGCGCACCTGCCCCCCGGGGCAGCGCCACTTACTGTCCTCCTTGGTCTGGATGTAGAGCACGCTGCTGCGGACGCCGTCGCCAGCCTGGGTGTAAGCCAGCACCTGCACGCTGTAGTTGGTGAACTTCTCCATGCCCCGCAGCTCCACTCGCTCCCGCGTGGTCGTGATGTTCTGCATCTCGCCCCACTCTGCGGGGAGACGGGGCCCGTCAGCCCCGCGCCGCCACCCGGCCGGGTCCCCCGCGCTCCGCTCTACTCACCTCCGTCCATGTAGAGGGACCAGAAGATGACCCGGTATCCCTTGAGCACCCCGTTGAGGGTGCTGCGCGGGGGCTCCGACCAGGAGATCACGGCCACGTCCGACGTGATGGAGATGGCCCGCACGTTCTCGGGGGGCTGGCTGGGAACTGCGGAGGGGACGGACAGGGGGGCGATCAGCAGGAGGACGGAGAGGCGGCACGTGCCCGGCAGATGCCAGGCCGAAGGAGCCGTGTCCCACGGATCAGCCGCTCCGACTGCGCCCGCCTGGGACCCCACCGCGCTGCGGCCCCCTCTCCCCCGGCTGCTCGATCGCCTGGAGCCGGTCCTGCCCGGCACGCAGGGCACCAGGGCTGGGTGACCACAGCGGTCTGCCTCCGACGCGCAGTTTTGCGCCTCCCGGACCACCGAGGCGGGTGCAACCCCCACGCTCGTGGCGACGGGGAGGCCGCCGGGACACGCTGCGCTTCCCAGCGAGGGGAGAGCGGGAGAGCTGGCTGGATGCGAGGTAATTAGATCCCATTGCCCCGTAAGAGGTAACTCTAATTTTTACGAGCATTTAAATGATAATACATCACCGTAACGATCCTCTTTGAAAATGATTATTGTTTCAGATTACTTAGGTGCAAAAATATAAGCACCATGTAATTAGGGACAGAGCATAATAAACTACTACAGATAGTCCGTTTGAACAAAATGAAGGTAATATCATTATGGAAAAGGCACTATTGCTAAAACAGGGGCCCTTGAATACCCCAGGAGGAGTACTAATGTAGCCAGGAAATGATCGTGGTTTGACAGGCTAACAAGAGCCTTAATTAAGTATGAAAAACGGCTGAGCAAACGCGCCGCTAAACTTTTTTTCTCCTTCTTTTTAAAAGGGCTGAGGCCACCAGCAATCTCTCCCAGCTGGAAACCTCCCTGGCGCTTCAGCACTGCGTAAATCCACCTCGATGTCCTTCCAAGTGCACCCGAAACCCAGTGCCGTCGCTGTCCCGGCATCCTCGCGCTCACAACTCCTCCCCAGGGCAGCCGCGAGCGTACAGGCACGTGCCCGCAG